CGGCGGTGCTGACCCGGCCACCTGCCACGGTCGCGTTGCTGCGTGTTCTTCCCACTGTTTACTCTGGGGAAATAAATACCGCCAGTGAAGTTTCACCTGCTTAGCGGAGAGCTGAGTTTTTAAACTTTTTTGGTGTTGTAAGACTGACTTTTTTCACACAGCATGTTCCGCTCCGAACTAAGTATCTGAATTTCGTGTTGCGTCCCGTGATGCAGGATGCTGCTTCCCCTGGTGCTGTGTGCAGCCGTGCTGACGGGCACTGGCAAGGCTCGCGATGATGAGTGGATTGACCCCACGGATATGCTCAATTACGATGCGGCGTCGGGAACCATGAGAAGACCTTACAAGGTAGAGAAGGAGCGGATGCGTGAACACGCATCTCTCCCAAACTGCCCTGCAGCCACACGCAGCCGAAAGATCGCCCTGAAATCGTGATGTTAGAAAGCTGTAGAACTGCGGTCTCTTTAAGGTCATACAAGGTTACACCTCAGTCTGTACATGGAAGAGTGCTGTGTGTCCGTGGTTAAAACTGCAAGAAAAAAACCAGCCGCCCGTGTTGTTCTCGATAACTAGCGCAGGGCCTTCTACTGCCGAGTTTCTGTTGCACGCTGATGGAACCGCAGGAACTGTGCTGTCTGGCTTTTCACAGGTGGTGGCTGACTGCTTGATGCAGGTTGTGGCTCCACAGGTTATTTCTCTGAGGAGCGATGGTTTGAGCAGCTCTTGCTAGTTTCTTAAGCATAGCATTAAACATCTTGAAAATGAAGTTCCTAGCTGATAAAAGTCAGGAGAATTAAAGTTAATTATTATATTTTACTTGAATTATCCAATTCACCGGTAATATGGGACTAAAACCTGTTCATTTTGTGAGGGTATTATGAAAGTCACTGGTGTTTTGTAATGCTGGGCATCAGAGTTTGCAGAGGACAGTCAGTAGGGGTTGAGTGCAGTACTGTTAATAATTCACGAACATTGAGAAGGAGATGAAACATCAAAGGCTGGCGTTAACAAGGTGAATAACACTGTTGTCTTGTATGAGGGGTGGAGTCTGTGTATAGCATGAGGTGCCTATTGTTTATCCAGTACACGTGTGCACACATGGCACTGGAAACTGGTTGGTTGCACGGGCATCCCTGAGTTTGTCGTTTTGCAGCTTTCAAGTTTGGTTTTGCAGTCTTGAGTAATACCATCTTAATGCTTCGGAACATAGTTTTTCTGAAGCTTAAAAAATGCAGACTGCATTGCTTTTCTCCACAGAGGTACTCCTCAGCCTCCACCTGCCCCAAGTCCACCTGGCAGTCATCAGCATCCCTAAAATTCAGCAGCGAGCTTTGGAGTCTGTAAACTTAGTGCCCAACTGCTTCAGCTTTTCTAAAAAGTAGTAGGAGTTTTACTGTTGTCTCCCACAAAAATAGAGGTACATCTTAAAGGAGAAGAATGGCTGTTTTGGGTCAATCTGTCTTTTCATGGTTTCTTTTCTCCTCTGCCATGGGAGGCTTTAGGTAGGCTGGCTGTGTGGGCCAGCCGAGTCCTCAAAGCCAAGCTCTGTATTGGCGTGACTGCACTGAGCTGTGTGGTGTTGCACTTCGTTTTGGAGGCTTCCCTCGATGTGCATACCTGATCGTGGAGAAGCAGCACAGCTAAAACCACAAGCTGAGCAATCAGTGGAAAAAAATGAGGTGTTTTAGAGTGAAGAGGGAACATGGCAGGAAAGGCACGCAGCCGGGGATGGGGCTCTGTGTTTGCTCTCAGTCTGGCTGGCTGCGTGGCCAGCTGGACTGGGAACGTGTCTGGCTGAAAACTGCCCCTGGGCTTGCTGAGCCGGTTGTTAGCCAGTCCCGTTATCTAATCTGATGCGCTGTGTGACACTCGGAGGAGGGGAAAGGGCAAGACCTCACCTTGCAAAGGTGTTTGGGTAAGGCAGTTGCCCGTTTGGAGCCTGAAACAACAGCAGAGAGGCTACTGGAGTATCTCAGCAGCAAGGACCGACACTCAGGTTTGAGCTCCTCTGTGCCTTTTAAAGTGATCTGACTACAGAAATGTCACGTGGCATATTGATCAAATTCTTTGATTCTAAAAATGTATGTTTTTCTTGTGTAATTTTAGGCAAACTATCATGACTCTGAGGATAAGACTGTGAATACAGTCAGTAATGAAATCCTGCCAAGTTCCAGGGAAGTAGATTCCTTGCAACAGAAGGTTTGTTATGGAACTTCAAAATATTTTCCGGCCTTTTGCAGTTTGTGCTTTCCGATGATGCTTTTCTGGGTGGTGTAGAACAGGTGTGCCGCTGGCGTACTTTGTGAGAGGCCATGCATTATGTAGGGGGAACCTCCTCGTTCGGAGGAGAGACTGGAAGTGGCTTGAACTCAATTCCAGATTGCTGCTCTGCCTACCAAGGTCCGTTTCCTATAATGGTTTATAGTGTAACAGAGGTTGGTAGGAGCTACGTGCTGCTGCCCAGTGCCAGCAGCTTAAATGTGGGCTGTTGGTGCTACATCGTGCTGCCAAGAGCTAAGAAACCCGACCTTTTGCTTTCAGGTTGGTCAGTTCTGTTAGATTTTAAGGGATGGGTTGTGAGCACCGAGAACATGTTTGCGGCTGGCCGTGATGTGCAGTGCTGCAGCTCTCAGGAGCCGCTGTAAGGCCCCCACGCTGCCGCTTCCTCTGAGAGGAGGAGGGTGCAGCCGTGCTTGTGGAGCTACCGGGGCGCTCGCTTCCCTCAGCCGTTTGGAGACCCAAGGGCATATGTAATTTTAATGTTTCTTTAGTTACTTAGTATTTTTTATAGCATTTTTTTCTTTTTTTCACTGATGTAAACCTCAAATTTAAGGAGATCCAGATCTTTATAGTTTTTTTCTAGTCTTACTGAGGTTGGTGTTCAAACCGTGTCATCAGCAGATGTGAAATCTTCAGCACTGGCCAGTCCCCTGGAAAGCAGTATCTCCAGCAGCTGCGCACGCCTTTCGCCTGGTGTACTAATCACGAGATTAGTGCTAGCCAAAAGAAATGTGCCTCTAATCCTGAGTTTAATGTGTTGGTAGGGTTTTTTTTCTCCTATGAAGAAGCTGTTTTGAGGAGGAAGTGAATGAAATGTGTTTACATTGCAGATTGCTGAATGCGAGAAGAGGGATGCCAAATCACGTGAAAGCCGTAGCTTTTATATTTTTAAGCGATACTTGAATAAGATTTTAAATGAAGCTGGAAAACTTGGCCTTGTAAGTATTTGCAAAGTCATTAAAAATTAATTAGAATTCATGTTGCTACTTTGTGTGTTTTTCACAGTTACCAAGTGTTGATATTGTGCCACGCTTCCAACTAAAACACAGGGAACGGAATTGCAAAGGAAGAAGTGATGGCAGCCTCCGGCCTGGCTGTGGTTAGCAGTGCCTGCTCAGCAGAGGCGGCTGCCGTTTGATCTGTAGAGCTGCCAAAGGAAGGCTATGTGGCTTCAGAGTGTATCCAAGTACCTATGGGTGGGATGCAGCTACAGTCATGCCCTGTTCTGTTCGTGCGAGTGGCTGTTAAACTTGAAAGATACGGATGTTGTTCGTGTGCTTGCTGTAGACCTTTTAGGCCTTGGTGTTGGACTCTGCCACCTTAGCTGTCTGGGAACAGTAGCTTATGAGAGTGTGCACAGAAGAATCACCTTATTACTTTATTGTATTGCCTTCAGAGATTTTTTTTTTTCTGTTCAGAGGTAGAGGAATAAATTTTTAGCAATAAGCAAAACTAATATTAAGAAAGAACATTATACTTTGCAATGTAAAATTTTTTATTTCAGTATTTAATAGCTTCTGTCTGTATTACCCAGCCATGACTGGGGCACACGTAGCGCATTCCTAATTATTACTTGTTAATAAGAAGTGGTTCTAAAATTTTAATAACAGGTGAGATAACTCAGTTTTATAGGTTTTGCTATAGAATTGACAAGAGTACAAACCAGTTGAAATTGTGCTTTATATAGTTCAGAAGAATGAACAAAAAGGTTATAGAATGGCAGTGTGCTCCCTGTCCCGTGTCTTCATCCTGCAGTCTGCTTTGAAAAGGTGCTGGTACCTAGTGAGGGTATATAGTCGGGTTTTTGCCCAGGGATACAGTTTTTTATATGTACTTCTATTTCCAAATAAGCAGCTTTTAATCATTGTTTTGCTTTGCTTTTAATTCAGCCTGAGGAAAACGTGGGACGCGTCCATTACGATGCTGAGATCATCCTTACAAAACAGACGTATTCGGAGATCCTCAGGTTTCTCAGGGAGGAAACCTGGCAGTCAGGTGCTGTGGATGATGCACTCAGTGATATTTTGATCAATTTTAAGCACCATGATTATAAAGCTTGGCACTGGAGATTTGAAGACACTTTTGGAATTGATCTATATAATATGTTTCTGGTAAGAGAAAAGAAAGGTGTTTTGGTTTTTTTTTTTTTCTGTTTTCTCCTGTTTCTTTGTGCAAGGCTAGTCAATGAGTATTGCTGTCGTGACTCCACGTGTCAAGCAGTTCTGTCCGTCTTACTGACAGTGAGTCAGTCTTTGTCTCATGGTTGCTGAAGATAGAGGCGATGCATTCACTTGAAGGAAGAATTCAAGGTTTTTATTCCTATGGTTATCTTTTCTTTTTGTAGCTTTGTGGTTTTTTTCTGGTATGCTTTCTTTTTTCTCTTCTTTTATATCTGTGTTGTGTGACTCGTTACACTCTAGTGCTTTTTTATCATTTAAACTGACAACATGTGCATTACAAATTTTACAGATTTGTCTCTTGCTCAAATAGATGCTGAAGCTGTTGGCTTCTGCAGGAGTTGGAATAAATTTATATCAAGACAGGTATATATTCGAGGTCTTATAGATCAGAGGGGTTTGTGAATTTTGTGGAAAAAAAATTATAATAGTGTTGGCGAGAAGGAGAACGTGACTGAAAATGCCATATTCTCTAAAATGGAATTACAAAATACTGAGGATCTTACTAGCAAGCTGAAGCTCTCTGAATAAATGTTTACAATTCAGAATATGCTAACATTTTATTTTGACATGGCCTTGAAAGTAAGTAGCCTGTCTAGTTTTGGGGGGGTCCATGGGAGCCAAATGAAAAAAGCAAGCTGTCACAGCGTAACCTCGCTGTTAGGAGTCCTGGGGTGGAACAGGACTGTGAAGTGCTGCTCTGAAGTCTTGCTTCTGTTACCCAAACTGTAACTTTGTCTCTTAACCAAACTGCAGGAGCTGGCAGCAGTGGTTCTGTGGTTCATAGCAGGCACGTACTACTCAAGCACTGAATTACACCAATTTTATAATTTTAAGGTAGGGTAGTTAATGTGATAAATATCCTAAGGAAGAAATAACTAAATATCATCACAAGAAAGAAATTAGAAGCTGCAGCGTAAAGCTGTGATAGGAGTGACTACTAGCAATACTGTGAAATGTTTCTGCCTCGTACTGCAGCAGATACGCTGTGAAAGCAAGGAAGAATTCTCTCAGCTGTTCCACTGAGTGAAACTAGTAAAAACGAAAGTTGGAAGTTCCTTCATGTCTACTGGCAGTAAGTGTGGAAAGTTCCAGATCTGAAAGAATTGTAATTTTTTTCCTGTTTTCTTTTTCAGATACTCTTGTGCTTAGTGTGCATTGTAACTGTAATAGCTACAGAGCTCTGGACACATATTCATTGGTTTGTTCAGCTAAAACGTGTTTTATTAATAAGTTTTCTCATCAGTTTTGCATGGAATTGGCTTTACTTGTATAAGGTAAGTTGTTCTGAAATCTTAATGGCTTTTAGGCTTAAAATTTTAGTTATGAGGAAGTTGTGGTTATTTTATTTCCTTTAGTTAGTTTATCTAAAGCAATAATTGACCACAAAATACAAAAGGGATGAGCGTTTTGTTTTGCATGTTGACAGGTGTATTAGTCTTAAAGAAGAAAAGAAACCCTGCCAGCTTTTATCCTGCTGCAGAGGTGCACAACATCCATAAAGCAGCAGAACTGTGATTTCACTGTGGGGGCAGACATGACCTCTGTCTAAAGCAGCCTGGTAGAAAAGTCTTAGGAAAATATACTGTGGTGTTTTTTTCTTTCTAAAGATTCCCTGGGTGAAACTGTATTGGACGTGTGGTAGACTAGGGAGAAATGCTTCACTAATGGTGATAAAATGGCTGACCGTACAATGGTATTGGTTTTAATGAGGAGGGATTTATGCGGCTAGGTCATGGTCATAGTCCAACCACAAAATCTCGGTCCTCACATCTGTCATCAGAATTTAACTGCAGCTTGTCAGACCCAGGAACAGTGGGGTGCTACCCAGGAGGAGGGCTCTTGAACCTGAGCGGGCTGCCACGCAGAGGGCTTTGATTGAGTCAGTGGAGAGTGACAGAGCTTCTCAATAGATGATCTGAATTAATTTTTCCTATTTGATTATCAGCTGCAGTCTGTAAGGGAAAATTATAATGAATACAGGTATTTGTTAATGGGAATTACTTAAAAAAGAAAACGGAATCTTCTGATGTTTTAATTAGTAATTGCATGGCAGCTGTCTCTGGTTTCAATCCAGAAACATTTTAAGGCAACAAGAAGTCAGATTGCTTTTGCCCTGAACTTGTATCTTTGAAGTTTGCTCCTTTGGTAATTCAGACTGCATTTGGAGAATAACTTGGAGGTAGCCGTATGCGTAGTCTTTATCCATTCGCAGGAAGTGCTTAGAATTTAACTCTGTTAAATTGTTTAGGTAGCAAACTTTTCTTACCCAGGTAATGATCCCAAACCTGCTGCTCAGGTGCAGTGCTGCATGGACGCAGGGGTTCTGTGCCCAGCACCGCCTTGGTTTATGTGTTACAAGTCGTTCTTCGTCCCCCGCAGCTGGCCTTTGCGCAGCATCAAGCAGAAATCGCAAAAATGGGGCAGTTTGATAACGTCTGCGCTGAGAAGTTGGACTGGGGGGCGAGTCTCATTGGTAAATACTTGTTTCATTTTGTAATAGTATTTAAGATCACAAAATACTCAGTAATAGTATCCAAGAATACTCTCAATTTCTTCATGAGTAGCACATTGAATCTTCCTCAGCAATACACGATTATCAGTTTTACCATTTTTGCATTCCGCAAGACTTTCTTGAAGCCTTTGAAGGATCTGATCACAAAACTGTGCTTAGAGCACAACAGGGTGTTACTTCTTTTCCTCATAACTTACCCGGTGAGGGTTTCCCCAGGACCCCTCTGCCAGTACCATTCAGTGCTGTTTATTGAAGATACGAGGGCGGAAGTCAAGAAAAAGATTGTTTTGGTTTTTTTATCTTCCAGGCCTGCAAGTACAATGGACTTCAGAAATTAGACCTGTAACTACTTATTCTAGTTTCTTTATTTTACAGAGCAAGTTCAATTTTTTTATTAGCCATTATTTATTATCCAGTGCTGTAGGAGATAATGATGGCAACTCCTAATGAGTGCTTGTTACAGTCTTCCCTTTAGCATTTATTGGCAGTGATTGCTCTGTTTACATCAAATTTCAGTCATTTGGGTTCTGACTGCAGTGAAATCAAACTACAGAACCACTGATGTCATAAATTACTTGTTTATAACTTAAAGTTCCCTTAAGGAGTAAGACAAGCCACTTATAACTAAAATAGTCTCTTGAAATCTGGCAAGCAAAACACACATTTTCTTGCAGCCTGGCAGATGATTAATAACACTCAGAATTATTTCTGATTCAGTAGGTGTGGACAAAATGTGCTAGATAATGGTTCTCACAGACAAGACTGAGTTTTCTTCTGAGGCTTCTAGGGACTAAGTTCATCTATCACAGAGAACTTTCTTGACTAAACGTGGGAAAACCTCTGCTTCCTCTCTTTCTCTCCAGCCTTCCCTCTCCCTCCTGCATCCCCTTGACTGCATAAACTACACTGCCAAGCTAATACCAGATTTTTAAAAATAAAGCTGAGCTTTGAACTGTGTCTAGAAGAATTCTCTTCCATCTATAATTGAAATGCTACTTTCTGTACTACTACTGTGTCATAAAATAAATTTTAAAAAGTAGTAAAAATATGTCTCTGCTTTTACTACAGAGTGGCTTAGAAGTAAATGGACGTTTCAGGACGATCCCTGTCAGAAGTACTATGAAACTCTCCTAGTAAACCCCGTTTTGCTGGTTCCGCCGACAAAGGTACGCTCCAGGCCTAACGAGACAGCTCATGTGTATGCCCACAGTCAGTGACAAGACCATTTTTCTATTTGTATTTTTCTAGGCGTTGGCAATTACTTTCACAAACTTTGTAACAGAGCCTTTGAAGCATGTGGGACAAGGTATTGGCGAATTCATCAAAGCACTTATGAAGGAGATACCTTTCATTCTGCAGGTTCCAGTGCTAATTATGATGGCTCTGGCTGTCTTGGTTTGTATACATGTATCTTATACTTAAAAGCTCAGGTTTTTTGGTTTTTTTTAATATATTAAACTTATTTACATTTAAGTATCATTACCTATTATATTATTTGTGTCTTATTTGTACTACTGAACAGATTTCTTGGCACGGATGAAATTATTTATACCAGGGAAATTTTTTCTAGACAAAATCTTCATAGTACAGTTGGTTTAGCAATTAAAATGCGTTGTTTGTATTAAGCCACATCTCTCCCCGACTCCCCAAGTGGGATAACATAGTATGAAACTGCTTAATTAGACTCTGTGACAGTTTATTGCAGCTTAGTTCCCATTTCTTCTTTGTCTCTTACACAATGAGGCATGTACTTGGTATTTTGTACACAAAAGCATTGACTTAGAGCCTTCAACTTTATTGTAGCACCAAAGATGAACTCCGCAGCCTGGCCGTTCCCGCAGTGGGGTCAGATTACAGAAAGCGTGTGTTTTATTCAGCTGTCCTGATCACTTGAGCTTTTCTTTCCGTGTTTTTTAGATATGTGTTTTCTCTGTGAAAACCATAGGCTGCAAATACTTGGTGTTCTTTTTTTTCCCTCCCCCAGGCTTTCTGCTATGGTGCAGGATCATCAGTGTCTGTGTTAAGATACTTAACAACATCTCAGAAGAGAAGTCTTCCTCCACCGGACAGTCAACAGGAGAAAATAGACTTTAGGCAATATGATGGGAGTAAATCAGATAGCTGTTACTTGCAGAAGCCTCCTTACATTTGTAGAGGGCCTCATGACAGAGGAGATGCTCCCGTGAGACCAGGAAATGGCAGCAGAAGCCCTGACATCGTGCATCCAAGCAATGAGCCAGACACGCAAGTAGAAGAGTCTCGCAAACCAGAACCTGGTGTATGTTAGTCCCAGTGCTCTTTTTGCTGGGATTGCATTTAATAGATTTCAGTGTCATCTGCTAGAACATGTTTAAACAAGCCAAATCTTGGGGAGAGAAGAGTTAAGGAAGTACCTGTTCCCCTACAGAACGGTTTGGTAGAGGTATCTTGGGCATGCTTTGTTCTGGGAAAATACTGTGCAATGGCTAACTGTGGCAGGAAACCACTAAATTTAAAACTTTATACTTTTATAGCAAAGACTTAAATAACTTCTGTTTTGAGAGATCAGTACTTGTGTCAGCCTGGGCAATAATGATTACCCCCCCCAGAGGAAACGTGGGGAAAAGAAGCAGTGCTGACTTTCCTGTGAACTATAGAAAATTAAAAACACTCTAGACTGTGCTTATTTACTTGCTTTCCCAGGAGACAAAGATACCAGTTGTGCTTTGGGGCAGTTCTGCCCCTTAGGCTGAGATGCACCTGAAACAATAGATGCCATCTCTTTGGATTGCTTCATTAATAGCTTATTATTAATTTTTACAGAATAGATTGCACACTGAGTGTGAAGTTTGTAGACTAGAAACTGTCACAGCTGAAAACCTTACTGAAGAACATGCACTTCAGCAGCAGAAGCAGGAGACAGGCAAAGCAGAGCAAGAGACTGGAGAAAACTGTGATCCTAATAAAAGCCTAGAAGGGAAAAGTTCTGCAGTGGAACCGCACGAAGAGAAGAAAAACAGCAGTCCGGGTGACTCGCAGGAAGGAGACTAAGGAAGGCCCAGCTCTGCTGTAAGTTTTGTCTAATCTTTAGTTGTCACTTGATAGTTCTGCTCTAGTTCTCAAATGTTGAAAACTGGGCATCAGTAAGCTCATGGGAACCCATCTTTGGTCAGAGCATTAGTAAGCATAGTTGTGAGGTAAGCAGAGGGACTGAGTATACGTACTACTTCTGCAATTTGAAATAAAGATGTTGGTAAGAAAGGTAATACAACTTTAAGTGGCCCAGATAACAGGCTTGCGGGGTGTTGCTGCTTGTTTGAAATAAAGTTTGTGTAATAAGTTTTGAGTAAAGCTGGGTATTCAGTGATCTAACAAACACAAGCCTGATGAGGTAACTCTCAAACAGCCTGAAGAAAATTGCTGATATCCCTGTAGGGGGTGATTCTGCGCCTCTGCTCTGCTCTGGTGAGAGCCCCCTGGGAGTCCTGCATCCAGCTCTGGAGCCCTCAGCACAGGACAGACCTGGACCTGTTGGAGCGGGGCCAGAGGAGACCACAAAAATGATCCGAGGGCTGGAGTACCTCTGCTATAAGGAAAGGCTGAGGGCTGGAGAAGCGA